CATCTATTTGTGTCCAAGCGTGCCCAGCAAACACACACTGAAGTCCCCATGAATGACTGGAGCGCTTCCAGCTGACAGCCGCATCCCTGCTCACCGCCAATGGCAGTGCACCCAGCCTGGGAAGCACTGACATCATTTCTGGCCAATAGCAGCTCCGAAAAGGGATGCAGCAGCAGCCGCTGCCGCCGTCTTGGAGTGAGATAAGTAATATATAGATGGATGGAAATGTGTGTGTACACACACCCCATCACTGCACTGGAGACCCACTCCCCCAAGGCAGCAGTAGCAGTGCTCTCCACCACCCCACTGCACAACCTGGGGCACTTGTCCCACCTCAGAGCACCCAGATGTTCCCAGCCATCAACCCCAGCTGCACCCACCCCTGTCAGCCAGACATAATTGCTCCAGAGCTGCCACAAAGAAGCACAGGCAAGGGAGAGGACACCCTGTGGGTAGCCAGGACCAGTCCTACAAAGGGCTTTGAATGCCAGGACAAAGATCTTGAGCCAAGGTCTGCCTTCAGAGGGGACTAATGGACATGTGGCGTACCCAAAAGATGCCTTCAGTCACCCATGGGGTGGACAGATGGGCTGGTACCTTCTCAGGGGCCATTTAGATGCACAGAGTCATTGCAAGACAGGACAGAGGAATAAATTATTTTTTTACATATGGATATTAAGATCAGTAGGAAGGACCAGCTCACAGCAGGGCATGCAGCCTAAGAGCAAGCCCATAACAACCTGAGGGTTGTTTGTGGTGGGATTTTCTCACTGTGGTCACACAGGATGGACTGACCATTCTTGGGTGGTACCTGGCAGCTGGACCAGTGAGCAAAGCAGTCCTGCACTGGGCAGGCATGCAGACCAGTTCTTAGATTTGCCATGATGCTGGCTGTCTCTCAGCAAGGACGTTTGCTCTGAAATACTTACTGAAGTAGCCCACTGCCAGGTATGGAGGAAGCAGAGAAGACTTCTCACACAATTCTGGGGCTTTCCCCATACACCTGCTCCAAATGCCTTGTTACTCCATTTCTTCCTAGTTCTGCTTCCCAGGCCCTGCATCTGCTCCAGCAGCCAGAGCAGGGGTGGAAAACTCCAGAAGGGGCTGGGATTTCCCTAGCAAGGGTCCCAGCACAGGGGCGGGCAGCAGGAGAGCAAGCAGATGCTCTTGGTGCCCTGAGGTTAGTCAGATGTTATCAGCAGAGGAGCAGGGTGGGGTGTGAGTACACCTCGCTCTCCAAGCTGACTTCATCCTCAGCTTTGACTCCTCCAGATCTGGGAGGGGAGAGCAGGAAAGCAGACTGCAAATCACTCCTGTTTCATAAGATTACCTTTGCAAGGGGAGAAAGCAAAACGCCAGCCTTTGAAGCTCTCTTTACACTAGGCAGAGCGACATCCACTGTTTTACATGTACCATGGCTGCCAGCACCCTCCATCCCCCCTAGCTTTTGCCCTTCCACTGCCAGTCCAGTCCTTGCCCCTCAGCTGGGACCGAAGGCGCTTCCTGCCCCAAGAAAGCAGCAGGGAGAGTCAGGGAAGTGGGCAGGGATGGAGAGCCCCAGGAATTGCCTCCTCACAGGGACTGCCCTAGTTGCACAGCAGCACCAGAGGAATCCCCAGCCCCAGGTCTGTGAAACAGCCTGTCAGGGCACTGAACATGATGGAGGAGCTCTCCTTTCTCCAGCCAAGCCAGCTTGGCTGCTGGTTGGGATTCCTCAAGCAGAGCTTGGCATAGTCTCTGGCAGCTCCTGAGCTGGTTTGTCTGGTGCGGCTGGTTCAGAGAACCACTCTAATCCCCATTTCTTCCCGCTCAGCTGGAAGAGGCCTTGGGGCTCTCCATGCAGGAGGCCAGCACCACACGCTTGAGCTCAGTGCTAGTGGAAGTCAAGGCTTTTCCCCACACCCAACCCACTAGTATGCAAGACCTCACTTCGGGCCGTACATCTTTTGATGTCCTCTTGGCACAGCCGAGAGCGCCAAGCGGTGCCCTTTTCAGCACGGCGCTCAGACATCCGCTTACACGTTCCTGACAGTGCTCGGCTGGCCTGCACCGCCTTGCCATGCCGTTCCTCGCCAGTGCCCGCGCCTCGGCGCCCGGCCAGCTGGCAGCCTGCAAGCCGGCCTCCTCCGAGACATGCTACGGAGCAGAACAGAGGAAAGGCAATCGCTGCTGAAGGGCTCAGGGGCTGGAGAAAGCACATCCTTCCACAGCTCATGGGTCTTTTGCACCAGGGGCTTGCAGTGAGCCCAGCTCCCGCACAGACAGGGGAGCAGCCAGGCGATTTTGGCAGCAACTAGTGCATGTTGGAAGAGCACAAGAGACTCACAACAAGGAAGAGTCCCCAGAGTCACATCACACCAAGGAAGAGGGCTCCCCATCATCAATCTACTGCTGCCTCCCCAGCTATCATAGCCACACAGTCACTCCAAGCAGTGGCTTTTCAGTGGCCATGCAAATCTGATGGGCTCTCATTGCCCAGCCAAGGAGACAAACAGACAATGCCTTCCACATGGCTGGAGAAGGTGGTTTGCAGCACCCTCTGCTCACCACTGGCCTCCCTGCCCCATCTGCAAGGTGCAAAACCTCCCTTGCCTCTCCCAAACCTCCTGTTCTCTCCTGCTAGCATAGCACCTGGTTCCTGGCATGGATGCCAGCCAGCTGCTGCCCAAATCCAGGCTTGGAGACGCCGGGCACTGCTCAGCTGCGTTTGTGTTTGTTATCCTGCGCATTTGCATGGGGAGGATTTGAGGGAAAACCCAGATATACAACGCTAAGTGGAACAGGCGCTAATCCCCGCTCCAGGGGTGGTGGGAAAGTGCCAGCTCCAAACTGCTCCCAACTCAGCTCTGACAGCTTTAGCCTGCACAGACGGAGAGGCTCCCAGGGGGTCCCTCCCTGCCCCAGAGTTTGGGGTGAGCCATGCCACAGGGAGGGTGCTGCAGCCAAGGGTCCCCCACTGCCGCTCAGCCAAGCCAGGTCTGCTCGGTGGCGGATGGGTTGTCATGGAAACGGCATCTGCTCGGCCTCAGCCCCTCGGGAGGCAGCCGGACCTCAGCAGCATCCGCCGGCTACCATTTATTTTTAATAGGGTTCAGTGGCACCAGGTGGCTTTGTCTCTACAAGGGCCCCAGAGCAGCAGCAAGCACTCAGCTCTCCACAACCCTCAGTCAGGAGGGGACAACCCACATGTCTCCTGGTTCAGGTCCCCACGGCTCCAAGCAAGTGGGACCCTCTCATGGAGGGGGTAAACACAGTCAGATGAGCAAGTCTGAGTTCAGTCCTGGCTGTTTTCACAGGCTGCTTCTGCTGTCCCAGCATCTTTTGATTCAATAGCAGTTGGACCGGGAGGAACAGGGGCAGGTCCAGGCTGGTGAGGGCATCACACAGGCCCTTTGCAGCCTCCTTCTCCCTCCCCAGGCCGGAGCAGGGTCCCTGGGACAACATCGCTACCTGGCTTGGCCAATACACACAGCCACCACAGGGGATGGAGCATCTCCCCCAGGGAAGGTGGGAGCCTGGGGTAGGGCTCCTGCTGAGGGACTCAGTGGAGTCCCAGGAGCACCCCAAGAGAAGTTGGTACAAGGCAGGAGAGCAGCAGAGCTCTACGCTTTCCCTTGCTCACAACTACTACAGGAGCAGAGGCAATCGATATGGGATGTAGAGGATGAGGTGCTGGGCAAAGGGGGCAGTTCCCAGGCAGGTCCCTGGTGCTTTGGCATGGGGCTGCAGCCCCTGATGCTCTGGGGAACCAGCTGCAGTGCAAGGCCAGCCATGAGTGCCAGCCTGCTCCTCTGGCAGTGCCACAGCAGTGTCAGCAGGGTTTCAAGCCCATGCCTGTCCTCCAAGATGCCAGCAACATCCTGCCCTAACAAGCACCAAGGAGCTGGACCAGCCCACAGTGCCTCCTCACACTGGTGCTGCCACCAGAGGTGAAGCCAGGCCACCGAGCCACCTTCACTCACGGTAGCAGTGGAACAGGACACCCTGGTAGCCCCATCCAAGCTTCCTGGTCCATGGCAGTGGCACACATGTCCCCCTTGCAGGACAGCACACATCTGGGATGTGGGGGGAACCCAGGAGTCCTGGCTCCCAGGCCCTGCTCCACCACACATGCTGCCAAGACACTTGTGTTGGCACTGCAGCAGGCTCATCTCAAAGTTACCACGCCAACCAGGGGAACAGACTTTGTTTGAGGAACACACAGCAACCCCAAACCTGCGCTTTCCTCCCAAAATAAGCACTGGCTCCACCATGCTAGCAGCTCGGCATCCTCAGCTGCCCTCTGGGAATGCTGGCAAAGCAGCGGGCAGGGAGCACGGCTGGCTCCGACTGACAGGAGACATGACGCCACCTCTTATCTCTGGGGGAAGGGAGGGGGCAAATTGCATCCTCCAGGCTCAGGTGCACCAGTGCCGGTAAAAGCCAATTTCAATGCAGAAGGTTCCCTTTACATTTGTAATTACTATTCATACCACCATCAGGCTAAACACAGCAAGTTAACCCTTTGGAGGAAGGACCATGGTGGATGTTTCAGGGTGGAGGAATAATGCAGGTTTCCTCCTGGAAGAGTGCTTTCCACAGTGGTTCAGCCCTGGAGATGTTTGAGAGGGAGCTAGGGCAGGTTTTCTCCTGCCCAACCACACTCAGCTCTGAGCTGGGGCAGAGGGGCAGCACACTGGGGACAGGGTGGTCAGGCATGATGGGGACTTGCCACCAGGAGACCCCTCAAGTACTTCTGGTGGCAGGACCTGACCATCAACAGGCACATTACCCCACCTGCATCCTTTGCCACAGTCAGCAATCATCACACACTGCTCCGAGTTACCTGTCCCCTGGGGTCAGGGCTGCTCCTGGCAGGTGGCATCACCAGTGCTTGTGCCATGGAATGTCCCACAGTCCTCACATGGGGACCCTGCCTGCCCACCCACCCCAGGGTCAGCCCTTCCCTCCCTAGGCACTGCACTGCTGCACTGGCTGACACTCTCTCCTCCCCTGTACAGTTCTCCAAGGAGAAATACATCCTCGACTCATCACCGGAGAAGCTTCACAAGGAGCTGGAAGAGGAGCTGAAGCTGAGCAGCACTGACCTGCGCAGCCATGCTTGGTACCACGGCCGCATCCCCCGGGAGGTGAGGAGGGGAAGGTGGGTGGCTCTGGGCACCCTTTGCTTGGGCTGGTCAGGAAGAGTGCCCCAAGGCCACACAGAACCACCAGCCTGTCCTCATGGGAAGCCTCTGGGCAAGGGTTCATAGTGCTGAGCTGCCTGGTTTTTGCCACAAGAAACACCCTCCCGCGGCTCAGAGCCAGGGGCAAGAGGAACACGCCAATGTCCCAAATAACACCCAGTGGAGCATCCACCCATGCCCCCTGGTCACAGCCAATGTGGCTGTGCCTGAGCCGCTGCCCTGTCCCCTGCCAGGTGTCAGAGAGCCTCGTGCAGAGGAACGGCGACTTCCTCATCCGCGACTCACTCACCAGCCTGGGTGACTACGTGCTGACGTGCCGCTGGCGCAATGAGCCCCTCCATTTTAAGATCAACAAGGTGACAGTCAAGTCCAGCGAGGGCCATACCCGCATCCAGTATCTCTTTGAGCAGGAGAGCTTTGACAATGTACCTGCCCTTGTCCGCTTCTACGTGGGCAACCGCAAGGCCATCTCTGAGCAGAGTGGAGCCATTATCTACTGCCCCATCAACCGCACCTTCCCCCTGCGCTACCTGGAAGCCAGCTATGGGCTGGCTAATGGCAAGCATGGGGGACCCCACAGCCCCGCCACCCAGAAAGGGGGGCACATCAAGAGGAGGAGCATCACCATGACAGACGGCCTGACGGCAGACAAGATCACCAGGGCTGAGGGGTGCCCGACAAGGTGAGCATGTGGTCTCAGCCGGGCAGAGGACCATCCCCTGGGAAAGAGACAGGGCCATGCTTGGTCCCTGTTCTCTGGGTGCAGGGCAGGGGTTTGGGCTGGGGGATGGAAATTATCCCCACTCAGGTGCAGAGAGAGACCAGCAAAGGTATGGGGGGGGACAAACCAGTACCCAGCTGGAACTGGGGTTTTCTCTGAGGCTGGCTGACAGCCACACTGAGCTACCACAACAGACACCCAGAGAACAGACACAACCTTAGCATCGCAAGCCAGAAGCCAGAGAGCGTTCTACAATCACCCAGTCCAGGATTACCAGCCTGTCAGAGGCAGGGAGCCAGGCTTTCCTAGGCAAATGCAAGGGGAGAGCCAGTCCCAGCCACCAAGAAGGCATTTGTTGATTTGTTTTTGAAGGGCCCTTTTAGTTTTAGAGCCCTTTCTGTTCAGTTGGAGCATGTGCAAGGAGTTACCAAGTGGAGCTGAAAGCCTGATGACCAGGAAGAGACCAATGGAGCTGTGCTGATGGGTGTCTGCACAGCCCCCAGATCACAGACTCCATGTGGCTGATCTGCTCACATTAACCCTGGAGCAGTTGGGCTTCTCCAGAGGTAGAGAAGGAGATCTCCTTTGCATGGGTTGCATTCAGCAGCCCCAGGCTGCCCAAAGCCCAGCAGGGAAGGCAGAGCCACACATACATCCTCACATGCAGCAGCTGAGGGGGGACCCATCTACTCCTGCCTCCTCAGCGGGACACAGCCTGTTGTTGAACCAAGCTGCTTTCTCACTGCCCTGACCTTCTCAGCCCAAGGGCAGAATGAGAACATGCCAGCAGAAAACAGGCAACCACCTGTTATGGGAGGGAAAAGGAAAACACTCAGGCTTCCAGGAGAGTGTATGTGTTTCCAGAAGAAGAGCCCAGATCCATCAGTCTTTCCTCACCACTTGCATTTTCCCCAAACCCCTTATCACCACTGCTGCTCCTCCCATCCTCCTCCCACCACAGAGGCACAGGGCTCAAGACTGAACACATCACAGCAGCCCAGCCTTCACCCATGGCAGGGAGGGCAGCAAACTACCTACCATACCTCCCTGCAATCTTCCCCATGCTCAGCCCACACAGCATCTACAACACCATTGACTCATGGTGTTTGCATGAAGCCACAACTGCTGCCCCACCAACCCAAGACCTCCTTGCTTGCTCCACAGCTCCTTGAGCACATGCACTGCAGCTCACTGAGCCAGGCACCTCACTGCCTCCATCAGGCACCTGCTGGGCTCTGAGTCCAGCTTCCAGGCACTTTCCACCTCTCCTAAGTTTTGGGTTAGAGCAACAGCTAATCTAGCTGTCCCAACACAGCTCTCAGGTAGAAATACAGTAACACATCCAGCATTAGATACCACCTTGCAAGCACAACCCTAGAAAACTAACTCCCCCAACTTTTTTGCCAGACCCGCTTCCCCACAGCAATCCAGAGCCATCCCAACCCTCACCCCAAAGCAGTACCTTGACATCAGGGTGTCCCTCTCCTCTGCTCCCCAGGACCAAGCTCCCCAGAGCCTGGGCTGTCTCTTATATGGTTGCTGACCCCTTCTGCTCCCAGCTGCCTGCGGGGGCTGCCTGCTCATTGCTCCAGCTGAGCTCGTTATGGGATCAGCTCGTTATGGGTAGTTGTGGAAGGAGGCGATGACCCAAGGGGAGGTGATGGGGCAGCAAACCCTCATCCCAGCCCCTCTGCCCTTGCCTGGGCCCTGTTTGCAGGGACTAACCTGCTCCATCTGCCGCCTCCCCAGTGTGTCCCTGCCCCACCACAGAGACATCATTCGCAACTGTGCCGTCAGTGTGGACCAGATCCAAGACCTGCACTCCCCGATGTCCCCCATCTCCGAGAACCCAGCGTCACCTGCCTACAGCACGGGTAGGCATCACCCCTCCATCCCACTGGGGACAGTGGGGACATGGGTCAGGCTGAGCTTGGCAGGGGTGTGATGCAGGGACCTGGGGAGGGGGATGGAACTGGCTGTAAAGACAAGCCCCTGTGTCACTCCCTGCTAGCAAAACCCTGTCTGGCTCTTTGCATGGCACAGAAAACTGTCCTCACAGAGGGCTTGAGCTGAGGATGGGACCTCAGCCAGTCCCCAGCTGCATTGTCATGCAGCTGTCCTGGGGCCACCTGAGTCCATTCCGGCAGCAGG